TGGCTCTGTCCTGACTCACTCGACTCCCGCCCTTTGCCCTTTGGTCTCCAGGCTTCTATAGGCACATAGAATGACAGGGAGGAGAAATAGACACCCAAGTATCAGAGAGTCCCAGGGGCACCCAAGCCTGGTACTCAGCTCAGACATGAGACAGAGAAGACTTCAGCTGCATTGTCTTCACTCCTTTCTCATTTATGTAAAGAGGGCCCGGTGGAGAGCACTGCCTGAACCTCTTAGGGGGAACCTGGTATTTCAGCATTGGAATCTCATAGTAGGGTTTGTCCCTATGAGGGGATAAGGCTGTGTGCCTTTTATGTGCTCCATGGGTCACAGGTTGTGGTGAGAAGACCTCTGAGTGCTCAAGGCCCAACTCAGGCTCCTCATAGTGGACCCTCAGGGACACCAGGTGAGAATCTGGTCCACAGAGTGCACAGATATTTGTTCAGACAGAACTGCTTCCCAAAAGGAATCCTTAGGGTATTCTCTTTTGGAGTGCCTGCCATAATTGTATGAACAGAGGAAAGACAGCATCAACCCCACCTCACACAGACTTTTGTAATTGTCTTTGCAGAAAACTATGAATTGATGATTTCTGGGAAAGGCTTTAATAATGCAAGGAACAAGGACCAAGCTCTTTGTAGATTTAAGTTCAGCGAAACGATATTCTTCGGTAAGTTGTGCCCTTTGTTCCTCCAAGTAGCAAATTTCCCATACCACACTTCATTTCCCCCAGCCAGCCAAGCCTTCAAACCCTTGCTGACCACTTGCTGTGTACACTGTGAGGATAGAGGCCATGTGGACACATGCAAGGAGGAACCTGGCTGGGAAGCCAACCACCTTTTTCTTCATATGCAAAGCCCAGCACCGCAATAGCATCTAGGACCCCTGCCACAGATGGATTTGTCTGATGGGTCTGCCTCATAACTGCATTCCACCACACTTTCCTTAGCCCTCACTTCCCTTGAGAGCAAGTACCTAAATCCCACGAGTGTGCTGGTGGACATTGGAGGCAACTCTGGGACTCTGAATCTGTGCCAGAGGCACTGATAGCTTTCCCAGGAGTGTGTGTTCACCTTCGAGCAAGAGAGAATGCCAACTGCCACGTCTGGGCCCTGGAATTTGGTACAGGCACACACCATATGTGTGACCTTGACCTAATGAGTGTTCTGTTCTCAGTCTCTTTTTTCTCTTCTGTAAAATGGGGCCAGTATGGTAGTGGCACTAAGTCCAATCACACATGTAGAACAGTAATGTATGAAAGGGTTTCTTCTTAAAAATGAAAATGCACATATGAACGGAAATACTCAGGCAGCAGGTGGACCTCCATGATGAGTGAGTGGCCAGAGGAAGCGCACAGTTGGGGCAGGCCGATGTTGTATGGGCAGCGCTGAGGTGGGTGTGATCTTCCCCACAGAGTGTGGGGTACAGTTGGATTTTCTGCATCCTTCTCTCCTCTCCCAGTTAGCCCCTTGATACATTCATTTGATATTATTATATTATGTTCAATGACTTCTTATTTCAGGACCATCTGCTAAACCCGGAACAACTGTCCCCCTCACCACACTTCTAGGCCATCTCTCCTTCTTTCCCCTATGTCCAGAAGGGGCGGGGGTCTGCCTTTGCTACATTCTCACACCACAGAGGATGTAGGTGACCTCAAAGAAATTAGGTTTCTTTTGGTCTGTACTTATTCAGGAATGGTTTAAGGACTGAGTAACTCCTTTACATAGAAAGCTAACATTTATTGAGCACTTACTATATCACATAATGTGCTAAGTGCCTTACATATCGCAATTAATTCTTAAGGAGACAATTGTTACTCCTTTGTATGGGTGCAAGTAAAATCAGGGGCAATTAAAGAGTTTGCCAACATCCAGTAGCTGTTGCAGGACGATCTGGAAAGTAGACACAGGTGATTTGATAGCCCAGTTTGAATTTTCAGCCTCATTGAGATGACAGTTCTTGAAGAAGGTAAAACACAACCTGTACCCCAGGAAATGAGTTCAGAGGCTACCTCTGTGGTCTGTGGGTGTATTGGTTCCCATCCTGGATATCACCAAGGAGAACCAGTGCCAGGCTCTCACATGGGAGAGCTTGTGCTACAGTCATGGGTGCTCTGCTAACTGCCAATCTGCACCTGGTTGAAGACTGGTCAAAGTGGCCAAGGAGGGCTATTTATTGCCAGGAGTTCTGATTCATTGAGAAAGACTGGTTTTGTTGTTTTTAATTACATTCTTCTCTAATAAAATATGTAGAAAACATTTAGAAAATGTAGAGAAGCATAAAGAAGAAATATATAAAAATCAGTGTTTCTACATGTTTTATATAATGTGCTTTTACTGTGTAATGTTTTTATAATTTAAGACGTTTTTAAATGTGGCAAAGTATTCAGTGTAATCAGTTAATATTGGTTTGAAAACCCCTTTCCAGTCAATCATGCTTTGCTGGGCCCTCGGAATACTGGGCACCTGCCATCACCTGGCTCTAGACTTTGAACACCTTACTGGAAAGTCAATATGAGCCTTTTTTGGAATTTTTCACTTAATGTCAAGCATTCCACCTATTAGATGCAAATCTTTTCCCTAAAATATACTTGGCAATTAGTTCTTCATTCTCCAATGAAGGAGTAACACTGTTCAGAAGTTCATAGCTAATCTGACAATAGAGTTAGGGCCAAATAACTGATCCACATGGAAATGAACCATTCAAGAAGGAATGCCCTGATCTATAGAAAAAAATGTGAAAAACAATCATTAGATTGGTAATTATAAGAATGATACAGAGTAGAAAGCAAGGAAACAAAGATAAAGAATAAAACATTACCTCTCTTCTCAACCCGCAGATAAATACCTTTGATGCTCTCAAATATATCGTAGTAAACCTAATATTCCTTGAATTATGGAAGAAAAAGAAACAAATAGAATTAAAGAAACTGTTGAGTGTCACACAAATGTTTCTTCATGAGACATTTTAGTTTCTGAATGATGCTCTTATAGTCGAAAGGAAGCTATAAAGACATTAAGAGATTAGGACTATGTGTGGAGAATCTTTGGTTTGATTTGGATCTGTGTATTTTTAAAATGTTTGTCTATTTAGTGATACCTGAGACCAGTCTTATAAAACTTAGAGGATGTTTCTAAACAGACAATAAGCCTATTTTTAAAAAATTTAAAAAGAATAATTAAAACCTAACTCCACTTTTGGGAAAATGTCTCCTGAGAGTGTCACTGGAGACTAGGCCTGCTCCTGAGCATGACCTCTCCTGCAGAGTTTTCTTCCTACCCCTGATCACAGCCCTGGGGGTACAGGTCTGGGAGAGAGCTTGCCTTCATCTTACAGAGGGGAACGTGCAGGCCACATCTGTCCACATGGGTCACCAGGTACAGAGCTGCGGTGCCATACTCTGGCAGGCAGGGCCCTAGCTCCTAGGGTTGTAGGAAGAAGGTCTGTGCTTAGAATCACAGAAGTCATAAAATGCAGCCTTTTCTCCCATTGATCCCAACTTGCAGAGAAGTCTGGGACCTAGGAATGCTGGAGCAAGGCAGGTAGACAGCTGGTAGCAAAGTCAGCACAAAAATGCAACTGAGCCTTTCCTACTTTTTTGCAGTTCAGGGATGTAAAAAGAGTTTGGGCTCAAAGTGAGAAGGTGCTCCAGCTACAAGTTATGGAACTGTTCTGAGCTGCTGGAATGCCACCTCCCAAATCCCCACAGAATAACAGAGAACAAAAACAAAGAAAGCCTGGATTCCCTGCTCGGATCTCCCATCTTAATGAATGGCACCACCATTTACCCAGCTGCTCTGGTCAAAAACCTGCATGTCATCCTTGATTCCTCTCTGCTTTCATCCCCACATCCAGTCCACCACAAGTCCTGTTGCCCTTTTGCCCAAAACATATCCAGATCTGGCCAGCCCCTTGTCACATGCATTGTACTTACAATAAAACCTGAACCCCTTCCCAGGGCCCACGTCTCCTCACTCACTTCTTTCCTGCTCAACAAACCCAGCTAGTTATGCCTCAGGGCCTTGACACATGCACTCCCACAGCCCAGAAAAAATCATCTGGTTTCAGCTGTAGGATCACTTCCTCACAGAGACATTTTTTTTCTCAGAGAGAGAGAGAGAGAGAGAGAGAGAGAATAACAGGGAGAGAGAATTGAGGCCAATGATGCAGTCTATAAGAAGTATATCCACATAAAAATAAAAACAGTATTTTCAATTAAAAAATGAAACCCAGTCATATTTACAAATACTAAACTAGGAAACCAATCTGAAAGAAAGTGCTTAATTTTTCTAATAAGTATCTAGTTCAGACATTATTTTTTAACTCCAGTCTTATTGTTACTATAATTAGTTAAATATTAGATTAAGGTAAGTAATGAGAATGAAACGATGCCTATTCTCTCTGGAATTCTTTATTCAAATGAACTAGTAAAACATTTTTATGAGCTAATAAAAGCTTTAAGCATTTTATAAGTCTATGATAATGGTAAATTTCTCTAATTTCTGGAGAGAGGAATTGAAATATTCCCATCTGATATAACAAAGTTTATGAGTAAATTAGAAATTTATTTCAGTATTTATTTACTTTTATTTCACCTATCTCCCTACCCTCTCCTCTTTGGCAACCATCAGCTCATTCTCCATATCTATGAGTCTGTTTCTGCTTATTTACTCTATTCATTTGTTTTACTTTTGTAGATGCCACATATAAGTGAAATAATATGGTATTTGTGTTTCTCTGTCTGACTTTTTTCACTTAGCATAATACCCTCTAGTTCCATCTGTGTTGTTGCAAATGGCAAGATTTTATTCTTTTTATTGTTGAGTAATATTCTATTATATATAATAGAATATAATGGAATTTTTTATATATAATCACTTCTCTTTTTTTCTTCAACTATTGCTAGACAACCAAGTTTCCTTCATATCTTGGCTATTATAAGTAATGCTGCTATGAACATAGGAATGTTTTCGAATTAGTGTTTTTGTTCTTTTCAGATAACTACTCAGAAGTGAAATTGCTGAATCATATGGCAACTCTATTTTTTATATTTTCAGGAAACGCCATACTTTTTCCATAATAACTACACCAATTAACAATCCCATCAACAGTCTATGAGAATTCATTTTTCTCCACTCCCTCTAGAATATTTATCATTGCTGATTTTTTGATGATAGACATTCTGACAGGTGTAAGGGATATCTCATTGTGATTTTGATATGCATTTCTCTGATGATTAGTGATATTGAGCATCTTTTCAGATGTCTATTGGCCATCTGTATATCCTCTTTGGAGAAATGTCTACTCGTGTCTTCGTGGATTTTGGGGGGTTTTATTGTTGTTGTATAATATGAGTTCCTTCTGTGTTTTTTATATTAACCTTTTATAAGATGTATCATTTGTGAATATTATCTCCCATTCAGTAGGTTGTCTTTTTTGTTATGTTGATGCTTTTCTTCACTGTGTGAAATCTTTTTAGTTTGATGTAGTCCCATTTGTTTATTTTTATTTTTGTTTCCCTTATCTGAAGAGACATGTCAAAAACATATTGCTAAGACCAATGCCAAAGAGTTTACTGCCTATATTTTCTTCTAGGAGTTTCATGGTTTCAGGTCTTACATTTAAGTCTTTAATCCGTTTTGAGTTTATTTTTATATATGACATAAG